GGTCTGGAGTTTCATGCTGTCTATAGGCAGGAGTTGGAGGTGAGAACTTCCGATGACCATCAAAAATGGAACATTAATCAAAGCCAGATACGTAGCAGGAAAAACGGGATTATGCATGGTCCTGTAAAGAAGGGAGTTTATCACACTATCAGCATCATATTTTATAAGCAAGTTCAGTGAGAGAAATTTCGAAAAGATACTTTTCCAAGTGGTTTTACGGTGTTGTTATCAGTTTTTAATAGCTTGCCAGTAGAACACGGAAGTTGGACGAAACCTAAACTCTGTTGTATAGAAATGAAGGCTTCTTCGGACAGAGGTTTGCACTCCAACTAATACCATAGAAGTTTGTCGCGAACCGTGCAAACCAGAACTACAGTCAGCACATACTCAGACTCGCTTCTGTGGCTACCACCATTGTAGCATCTTGAGACTGAGTAGGGCTGATTGCGCGTTATCAAGGGTTATACGCGCAGGAAGGGAGAGTGAAAGAGAATGGCGATTCGGCTTCGACTTGACCAGAAGTAGAAAGGTAACTATTAGAGTGACTGTTAGTGATACAGTTAGTCACATAGACGAGGTGTTACACTAAATACTTTGCACTATTTCCCGAATCATAGTTCTTAGTTCATAGTTCTTTAATTTACCGCCTCTGTCCAATGGTCCAAACCTTAGACCACACTAAAGTACCGTCTCTGTGCCTCCTGTCCAAAATACGCCTACGCACGAGACCCACGTCCCCAATTGGTTCCCGCCTCTCACCTACAAAAGTTCACTTAAACAAGCTAAAATATATTACGGCAATATTATCGAATTTTTTTAAAATACAAGTGTCTGGTAGTGTAAATAAAAAATATCCAGAGCGTACTTTTGCATCAGCTCCGTTAACAGACATTATCCATTACAACCATTTGTTCCATCTGTGCTCCCTTTGTTCGGTAAGATAATTTTTCGAATGTCAAAATTTTTATATTTGTGGCTGATTTTGTGCAAAGAAAACTTGTTTTTGGACTTAATCGCAGTAACTAATAGCCGTGTCGAATAAGCTCTTCTAACCCAAGGACTCTCTTTGATGAGCTTGACCCAGTTGCATAATCCCACGCTTTAAGTTTCGTCTGTTGATGACCATTGTCTGATGAATAAATTTAGCATACCTTTCGTGACTCATCGCTTTCATGGTAATGTATCAAACCGCATTTATTCGAATTACAAGGGTCATCATCTGCCGCTACGGTGAAAAACATCCCAAAATCCCCACAAAGACACAGAAGAAAATATATTGAGGCATCCAGACTATTGGAACAGATTAATTCTGTATCTGAGGTCCGCCTTTTTCCATCACAGCTCAGGCTCATTTCAAAATACCGGTCCTTTCTTTCTCTAAATTTTCTTGAGTCTCGTGAAATTGTACCGTCTGGGGCAGAGACAGATCACAGAGAACTGAGCTCAATTCTTGGTCGAATTTATTTCAATAACAATTCTTTCGCTGCCTATACGGATGCTTGTCTTCAAACAGCAGAGGTTTGTGGACATTGGCTCTGCTTATTTTTGCACTCACATTTTTGAACACTTTTATCTGCACGTTTTAGAAATTTCAAATGCTCAGGTCCCTGATTAATCGTCGAAACGAATCTCGCGTTGAAGAAAATCTAGTCGAAGGCAGTGTGATTCTCTCTGATGCCGTTTATGAACTTATTTGTAGACATTTTGCGTCGCGAGTGAGTTCTGTCTTGTCTTTGTTTGTAGTACGAATCATTTTTGGGCAAAGTACTTTACTTTTTTACACACTTATAGGATGATTGGCCAGCTTTAGAAAGGACATTGACGTGGCTTCGAGAGGATGGAATTCCACCAACATTCAATATTTGCATGGCCTCTCTAGAATGCCTCGGTGGACTACTTCACCGCTCCATCAACGGGAAGCCTTTCCCAAAGTCGCTTAGTCATAAACTTTCCACAGAAAACCGTCTCATTCACTCTTATGTCGAGGAAAAAGCTATCGAAACTATCGCTCTAGCTAAAAACTACGTAAGGTGTCGTAATTTATTCATTAATGAATAGGGTATCAATGTCTATGAGGGTCTTCTAAGGTACCCATGTCAGAAGCAATCGCTTCGGAAGATCCTCACAGTCCTCTTTTTTGTGACTCCAGACAGGGAGCCTAGCCTCTCCTTCCACACCACCCAGCTTGCCACATCTCGAACTCGCAAAACCTTGGAGATTACAACGCGAGTTTCGTCTGTTCTTGATAAAACTCCGGTGGGTTTCTGGTTCCTTCTGTTTACCCTTTATTTGTCTAACAAAGGACTAGTGCATTTACTTTTCACTATTTCGAATGCCAAAGTGTTGTTCTTGAAAAACTGCCTTTTATTTGCTTGAGGTATCAAATGACCAGTTTCGTGGCTGATTGTGATGCCTCTCCCCCGCTCGATGCTAAAGTAAATGACTATTGCCTTACGTAATGGTTAGATATACGCTAAAGGAAGAGTTTATTCTCTGCTCTCTTATTTGTGGTAGCAACTTAGTTCCGGCTATTTTCTCAAAATCGTTACTTCCCTTACTACAGTGATCGGAAAAAACGTTGCTCTCGTTGCATTCTAAGGACGCCACTATTTAATAAATTTTGTTGTTCTAAATTTTGAATTGGTGTGCAATGCATTGCGTAAGTGGGACTTGAACTATGACATGGTGGCGGCGCTATCCCTTTTAGTTATCTCCAACAAATATCTTTTCCGATGTTTTTCCCAACTCCCGTGCCATGGTTGAGGCATTCAAGGAGCAGCTTGGCTTGGAAATAGTGGGACAGGTTCCGATTCTCCCAGTGCTGCCGATTTTCGAGGAAATGCTGAAAGAGGCACCAGAAATCGCTAAAACTTCATCCCGCTCCTCCAACCAACTCTCATCTCCGCACTCTCTTGCTGAACTCGTAAGTTGTGGCGACGCATCATTGAATTGGGTCTGCTGTTAGCGACTTTCCGTACTTCTCGTAACTGGCAGACACTTGGTATTATTGTTGGGGAATTCCTGTCGTTGCATATTCATAGTCTCCTGGATAGGAACAAATGTTCAAATTGCTTAAAAGATTGTACACTTTGGGTGGTTCCACTGCTGTATCGGCTACTAATTAGATTTTGAACTGCCTCATGAAAGCGTTTAACATTACTTTTACTCTTTGTTCTATAGCTTTTCGTGTCATCTTATCACAACTAATGATAATCAACTACTGCATGCTTTTTAAGCTGCTGCTAATTAGATGATTCGCATTATGCATTTTCAGCGAAAATCTTTGGAAGCGGAACAGAATACGCATTGGCGACGACAACTTACGGAAGCTTTTGAGGCGACTTTGCAGCGCTTGAAAGTTGCCCATGCACGTAAGCTAATTCAGCTGAAGGCGACCCGTTTCAATTGGATAGAATGACTTGGAGGTCGAGTTTTGCTTCCCTTTCAGATGGGAAAATCACGGCGTATCCGTTTCTCAAGATACTGCCAACAAAATCCTATGTGGACCTGATGATTCAGGTGGCGTTTTTTTTTTCAAACGCTTATGCCTATTAAATTAATTAGGCTCTCTCCATTCTTTTCATTTCTTATATTTGCTCTTTAGAACGTTTGAAAGCCTCTAAATTTTTTTTCATTGGAAATGTTCTTGCTTAAGTAAAAACTGGAGGACATAGAGAAGCGAATGCATTGTGCAAGACACTCGCGCGCATTTGAGAGGCTGTCGAAACTTCAAATTAAGGCGCTTTCACTTCCATAATAAGCACATAAATTTGTGCTTCGAACTCTTTTCCAACACCATTAAACGCAAAAGTTTTCTTCATCTTTCTCACTCTGGTGGAATTTTGGACAGTTCATTTTGTTTTGCTACTCGGTGTCCGTTTGCCTAGACTTGTTACTAATGCCACTTTAAGCAGTCATTTTATTTCCTAGGCAGTCAATACAATAGTGACAGATACCGCACTTCAACACGTCAGTAGAAGTCTTTTCCTACTTCGACTTGGTGAACGTGTTGAAACTGCGTGCGTAGTTTGGCGTAAACAGAATGCAGGAATTCTTGATGAGGTAAGTGAGGATTATATATGATACCTGTTGTTGAATATTCAGTGGGTGTGGTTTTCCACAAGTGTTTGGTCTATTTCAGATGGCTAAATCATACAAAATCTATGCGGAGATGTTTTCGTCTTCGACTCGTAAAGTTGAACATTTTCGCGAGATGTGGCTTCGTGCTCTTCAAGTGAACGCTGAAAGTAGCGCTAGTTTGGTACGGCATATAAATAAATCCGCCGTTCAGGTTTACAACTATTGATACCACACGTTTGTAGTTTCCCACATGCTTCCCTATGCCTTTTGTACGTCGTTTTCCTAAGTAAGGCAAAGCAGCTTCTTCTGGAGCAAGCTTTAGCAGAAATTCATTCTCAATATCCATTTAGGATCAAGAATGGCCTAAGTGGAACAGTCACATTCTTCTGACGGTGGGGCATGAACTCTATCGCATTCTTTACGACAATTTGACCTTTAACATTAACGCATTGCGTTCTCGAGGTGCCTCGAAGCTGCAGCGACAGGAGGCCAACGTTCTGTTCGAGGTTTCCTCCGATACTCCTGGCGAGGCGCGCTATGAAATTCGGGTTTGTCAGAATTTTTAACGTTTCCATACATATCCCCGAGTAGCAATAGACTTCTATAGCATCATCGGTAAATTCAATCAAAGGCTTTTTATTGGAGTGAATTTCATTTCCTTTTTTAGGTGCATCCAACTCTGTTAAAGTGGTATAATGCAAGTGATCGTTTCACCCCTCTGACGTTCAGTCCCACCGAACTGCCGATGCTTTGTCCACCCCTGCCTTGGGTTAATACTAACCACGCAGGCTATTTGGTCTCATCGAGTAAGCGAAACTCGTTTCTTAGTATCCGAGGCTAGGTCCATGCTTTGGGGTTATTGGCGGGCCTTATGGGGCGTGCTAATCCTAAGTAGCTTTTTTATCAACGCGTGGAAAGATTGTGATGAGTGATACTGAAGCGTTATGGATATAGCATCACGCTACCGCTCACCTATTGTTTGCATTCACACTTATCTCAGATAACGCAACGCGTTTCATCCGAAAGACCAACTTCTTCCCTGGTGGAGATGCAGCTGTCAACGATGATCTAGACTTCGACATTTCAACGATTCCCTTGGTGTTCGATTCCTTAAACGCCCTTGCCGCGTGTGCGTGGAAGGTCAATAAGCCGGTTGGTAGCTGAAGAGCTAATAATTATCGTTCGAGCCATTGATACTATTCAACTCACCCCTTTATTTTCTCCAGATCTTAGATGCAATACTTCGAGTTGCACGAGGAGGTGGCGATAAAAATCTGAGCATACCCGAGACCAAATCCCTTTTTCCCATTCCTCCAAAAAAGTTCGACAGGTACTCTTCGCTTTGCTTCATTAAGCCTTTCCCTTTTTTTCATCTTCAGCACTCTCACCCGCGAAGAACGTATAGCTGCCTACCGTCAGGCGCACAATATCCGCAAGCTCCACGATGAAACCCGGTCCCTTTGGGCCACTGAACTATATCGTCTTTCAATAGCCAACCACGTGAGTCTGAGAAAAATTGCGGTTTAAGCGGTGGGTTTGAGGTGAAAAAAATTTTCATCCTTGTCTTTCCTGTCTTTAGTATCGTGATAAGGTGTTCTGGTTCCCGCATAGTATGGATTTTCGTGGTCGTGTGTACCCCTGTCCACCACATTTCCATCACATGGGTGAGTTACTACCAGATGCCGATCAGCTCGTGTGCGCAATGTGGTTCAGTGTTTTTGGGCTTTGTATTATTTTCATTCCCATTTTGCGGACAACCAGGTACCCTTCCCCAATCGGAAGTTTGTCCTTCGTTTACTGTTTGTTATTTAAAGCATTGGGGTCCTTCTGTTGTATTCAAAGCTAAAGTACGCAATTGTTCATATAGTAAATATTTGTGATTTACTGGTATTTATGTCGGGTCTGTTGGCTTTTCCGTAACAAAATGTGTCCACCCGAGAAGTGATGCGATTTTGCATTTGCTGGAGATTCTTCAAACAGAACGATGTGTGGGCCGTTCATTGCCAATCCAAGAAGCGGGATTTCCTTGTCTCCCTTTGATAGTGGCTTGTTTTTCTGCAACGCTGATCGGTTCCGGGTCATGGCATTGAGAATGCAGATATGTCTAGATATCTTCCAAGGCGAATCAAGGTTGGCGTTACTTTTTTGCTTCACAAACTACCAAAACTGTGACAAATTAGAAGGCTTTATTTCCAATTTCTCATATCAACTTGGTTGACGCTCACTCCATTCGAAGTATTTAATCCACAAAATCGCAGTATAACGTCCCATATTTTTTCTCGGTCTTTGAGCAAAAAGTCCTCCCTGTGCCCCACCTGTCGTTCGGGTGAACTCACGCCTCCCACCTTTGCATTTGGCTTTGGTCGACAAATAAACCTGCCGCCCGCACTAAAGAATTGGAGAGGCGGTGCGAACGGAAGGATAGTAGGTCGGCAAGTGGAAGAGATTGGGACCAGGGGATGAGATAGGGGTCGTGGTAACGCGGTCACGACTAAACGTACTGTCACGCAAGGTCTTGGCGCCTTTTGGGAGTATTTTTATGGCACTAATTAGCTGAGGATTTTGTGTTTGTCAAGTGAAAAATGCTGCTTACTTCAGTTCCTTTGTAGCCCTCTTCCGTTATGAACTGAATCTTTTTTATTAAAACTTTCAAGCTATCAAGCAGTCAGGAGTGTTTGGTTTGAACTCTGTCTTGACGTCGTCACGATACATTTTCTTCACCTTAAATGCGCTTATCTGGTCTTCGTTAACATTCCCCATTGACAAGCCATTATTTGTCATCTCGTGCTTGTCGCTTTGCTAGTACGGCGAATCTAACAGAGGTACGAATTGAGAGGTGTCCCGAGGTGTTCAAAATTTCAATCAAAATTAAACAGCTCCAGTATGCATTCTCTACTTCTTATAGAAAGGTATTGATACTTACCTTGACTCCTTTTCTTTCCCCAAAGGCAGTGACGTGGCAAGAGGTCTCATAGTCTTTGCCAAGGGACTACCATTGGGGGAGCGAGGTCTTCGTTGGCTCAAGATTCACTTGGCTAATCTCACCGGCAATGTCAAACGGTGAGTTCTACTTTCAATGAACCTCGCCAACCAGAAGTCATGGTTTCCAAGTTTGCAAAGGAAAGGAAGCTGAATTCATTTTTGACAATTTTTTAGTCCATCTGCAGACCTCTCCGTTTAACTAAAATGCAATTCGTCTAGACGTGCATTGAGTGTACTGGGATGAGAGAATCCAAGTGATGAATGTTCAAAGAAACGGCTACTGCGGGTTGGAGACGGTTATGAAGCTCACTACCAGCAATGGAAGCATGGCTGCATCAGAAGCCTTTTCCCACCCTTTAAATGTTTCAATGCCCTAACCTGCATTCTTTGGAGGAATGGGACACAATGACTTCTTTCGATGTC